CGCGATTTGAAAATTCTTGCGGCAAGAAATAAATATTTTGCATGATTCGTTGTCACAGAGTACCAATTGTGCCTTGAGTGTGGCTAGTTTAGAACGGAATGTATGTGAGCTTCGTAGCGATATCGCCAATATTAAAGCTAAAGTTGCATCGGACAACACATGTTCCAGCACTGTACTTAAATCACGTGATATGTCATTGTCTGAAGATAATGGATGTGTATACATGTATATGCAAATTAGTTAATTAATATGCACAGGATTTCAACCAAAAACTAGCATATGCTAGCATATCTGAAAAAAACAGTGTAAACCCATTATGTTGTCGCAAATGGGTTTACCCAACACTTATGCTGGAATAACAGAAATGTAATTCCATTTAATGCAACTAACCTGATGTGAAATATAATAAATTTCTTGCCCACCAAAATCAAACAATGTGAAGCAATAGTCTTCTTTGGTTGTATCTTTAGCATCTTTCAATCTTTCCACGAGTTCATTATAGACTTCTTCATTCTTACCAACCCGCTCAATTCTATCTGTATCTCCTTTTACTTAATGTAGAACAAATTATGACATTACTTACAATTTATATATTTATAAAGGTAGCATGTTCAGTCAAACCTTAAAATAGCGACCACCCAAAACCTGCTGGCACATAAATGTTCCACATGAATTTATCTCAGGACAGGGAATAAGAGAATACTGTTGATTTCCAATTTCCTCACATGTGAATAACTTACTTGTTTTCGAAGTGTTGAAATTGCTGATTATTACTCAGTAGTGATTATAATAACATGGCCCTCTATCGACACTGCAGGAACCCGTTGATTCTTCAACGGGTAATTATGTTAATGAGTGTTCTAATTGACAATCATCTAAGCCAATCACAACATCTCTTTACCTGACCTCTGACCTAGAAGACGTCGGCTGATTGTAGCAGCCGTTGTTTTTTAATTCTACGACAAGTACGAGTTACTTTTTTACATATTGTGATGAATTAGAAACGACGACTACGACAAACTCGATTTTCAACGTGCCGCCATGTTGGGTCTGCAGTGTGACCTTTACCATGTTGACCTCATTATGCAGGTGCATTCATGAATATTTATTAGCAATGAATTTCCTGCAGAATAAATAAGTCGGGGTGATTTAACGCTAACTCCTCCATTTAAATGTTTTTTTATTTTATTTAAACTACAAAAACAAATAGGTACTTTTCATGTTTTCAATTTTTGTCAAGAACTCTTTAACCCTGAACGCTGAACCCAGACTTGGGGATGCGGTTTCTATTACGTATTAGGTTTATATTAGGACTTTTACGGTACATGTCCTTCAACCATATACAGAATAACAATCTGGAGATACATGCCATGGTTCTTCAGATGATTAGTTCTTCAGATATTGGTCATAGAGACATGTACTTACACAGAGCCAGGCTAAGCTCAAATGTTTTCAGTATATACTACCATAATTGCACACAGGGACCTAAACACATTGAAATCAAGTCCCCATTTGGCACTTACTTTTTGCACTGCTCACATTAGAATATGCACCTTTTGCTTCTGTAGATTAAAAATAAAAAAAAATATATATATTAGACATTATCTGATCAAGTGCCAATTATTATGAGTTCAACTTTTCACTTAATAATAATAATAATAATATATATATATATTTTATATCCATCCTTTTTTTATTAGAAAGATGCATGTAAATGCAGTATGGCTACATTTGTTTGCATATCCTATTACCAAACAAACAGAACTATGACATCTTGAAAGCTCACATAAAACATTCGTTGCAGAACATGTGAAAAGCACTTTGCGTTCCACTCGCTTTGAATCTGCCGTCTATGCTAATGAGCATAGTTGGTGTGACGAAGCATTACAACTCCAAGATGGTGTTTACGTTACAACGTAAATAGGCAGTAATTTAAACACCAATGTGCATGTTAGATTATTACACTTTTTATGTCTAATCACTGTAAGCCATGCAGTATCTTACATGTGCTTGCCGATTACCGAGCAGTGAGGCATGTCGCCAGTACATACTTGTTTACTGTAGTTCACGAGCAGATGGTGAAATAATATGACAGAACCCCATACTCTCCCCATAGCTTTCGTTGCACATGGAAGTTATTTTCACGAGTGATGCATTATCAATATTGTACTTCTAAATATTGTTTATTTCTACTATGTTTCAAAAAACCATACTCCTGAAGGGGCTACTTTGTTTGCTCTCAGACCTCATTTGCATATGGGGTGTGGAAATATTGATTTTGCACTGCATATGTAATAATCATTTAAAACTTAATGTTTCTATAAGGGATGCGGTGAACCCTTACACTTTAAATAAGAAGTAATATGGGCATCGATCCACCATTGGGATTCACACTTTTCGACTAACCATTTATGTAAAAGACCTCCATGGACCAACCAACCAACCAATTAGAATTGTGCTCTTCGCAGAGTGCACTAATCGACAATCAGCGAGTCACACAATCACATCACAGTCAACAGACAGTAAACTAATAATATACTAGGTTAGTCAATTTAACTTACCTCGTGGTTTTTGTTTCAACTCTATTGTATTTGCAATAGCATCTATATGGGCTGATTCAATTGCCTCAGTTGAGTCACCTGCAGATTAAAAAAGTTCATTTGACAACACATGAGAAATGATAATAACTTGATGGACAAAATATGCTAGAACTACAATATTCAATTGTAATATAAGTATTATCAACTGCAACACTGGTATTGAAGGTAAATCTCAATTATTAGTAAAAATGTTTTCAATAATAAAATAATACAATTAATCCAACGGGAAGGAGTGGACGGGGTACTGAGCTAGAGCTCTCCAAACTCAAGCTTCCAGCGTAGGAAGACAAAGACAGGAATGCTGAGCCCGAGGAATCGGGGAGGGGGGAGTCGTACCACCATGTCCAGGCAGCCGGTGAAGCCTTTAAAGAGACTTTGTGGCTCCCTGGCCCCCAGAAGTGTCAGAACATCCTACCACCAGGACCTAGTTCTTGGACCACTTCTCGCTACCGGTTTTCTTCTGCCCTTTAAAAGGAGATCATGAGCGCTTATATCGCTGGTCAAAAAGCAGGAGACTTATTGACTGACTCGTCCTGCGGTTTTGGTTTGAACTGTTTGCCAAAAAAAAGCAAACAGCCCTAGCCAACAAAAATGCATGATTACTTCAATAAATACATTGATCCTGAGCAAACACCAATAACAACCACCGCATCAGCTAGCCGGCCACGCACCCAACGCTCTCTCCGCAGGCGATCAAACTTATTTTCCGCTAGAGTAGGGTAGGCGTACTGACTCAGTACTGCCTCTCGCTCAACCGAAACCGCTCCTACCAAGAGGGCAGTATGAACTTGCAGGACGTCACACATAGCGACTCTCTGTCTGTGGTCCGAATGCCAGAGGATCGTGGTTCATTGCTTAGCACTCAGGCAGTCAGAACTTAAAGGATGAGCCAAGGAGACCCATTCTACAAAGTCGATGGGTTTAAGTTCTGCCGGCAGCGCCTGATGCACTTACAGGCTCTGGTGCCGATCAAATGACCGTGCAACATACCTTCCCACTCCGCGTAACCCCCTTAACAATGACATGAGTACCTGGATTGGGGCAAGGAACCAGTGAAGAAGGCTGTGGCTCCGTACGAGTAACCCAAATCAGGGACACATTGACGGTTTGCGTAGCCCCGATGGGGTATCATTCCCCCAACGAGAGGCATGAGACAAGATCATACCAATCCAGGATCAGTCTTCTCGTCATTGTCTCCCGATTGGTATCAATCTCACCCTCTGAGCCCCCTCCACAACCTGGATCACATGAGGTGTCTAGGGAAGTTGGCCAACAGACATGGACTCCACGTCAGCAGTGGGAGAGGGAAGTGCCGATGAAAACAAACAAGCAGCCTCTCGGCTGAGATAGCTCCGCTGTTAGCAATGCACATTTCAATTAATGAACTGAAGACATCATTAGAAAACGAACAATATGTATAGTATCAAACCAATCCGACTTACAGTTGTTAACAAGAAGTCAAAAATATCACTTTCTACCAAAAATGATAAAAATATTCTCCAAAATTAGAGAATTGAAGACATCATCACGAAATGAACAAATCTGAGAAAGGCCTACATGTAGTATCTATATATGTAATATCAAAGCATTTGAACTTTTGGTTTTTAACAAGAAGTCGAAAATATCACTTTTTACCAAAAATGATAAAAATATTCTCCAAAATTAGAGAATTGAAGACATCATCACGAAATGAACAAATCTGAGAAAGGCCTACATGTAGTATCTATATATGTAATATCAAAGCATTTGAACTTTTGGTTTTTAACAAGAAGTCGAAAATATCACTTTTTACCAAAAATGACAAAAATATTCACCAAAATTAAAGAATCGAAGATATCATCACGAAATGAACAAATCTGAGAAAGGTCTACATGTAGTACGGTATCTATATATTACAAAAATATTCACCAAAATTAGAGAATTGAAGACATCATCACAAAATGAACAAATCTGGGAGAGATCCACATTTAGTACCTATATATGTAATATCAAAGCAATCGGACTTGCGATTTTTAACAAGAAGTCGAAAATATCACTTTTTACCAAAAATTACAAAAATATTCACCAAAATTAGAGAATTGAAGATATCAACATGAAATGAACAAATCTGAGAGAGGTCTACATGTAGTATCTATATATTACAAAAATATTCACCAAAATTAGAGAATTGAAGACATCATCACAAAATGAACAAATCTGGGAGAGATCCACATGTAGTACCTATATATGTAATATCAAAGCAATCGGACTTGCGGTTTTTAACAAGAAGTCGAAAATATCACTTTTTACCAAAAATTACAAAAATATTCACCAAATTTAGAGAATTGAAGATATCAACATGAAATGAACAAATCTGAGAGAGGTCCACATGTAGTACCTATATATATGTAGTATCAAAGCAATTGGACTTGCGGTTTTTAACAAGAAGTCGAAAATATCACTTTTTACCAAAAATGACAAAAATATTCACCAGTAAACATATAAAATCTGATCATAATCAGTCATAGCACCGCAGAGATACATGTATGGCACTAAAACTGCATTCATTAAAACAAAATGGCCGCCAGTCGGCCATTTTAAATTTTATCTGAAAAATAAAATGATGTGCATCAAGGTCCATAATGTCCAACGTATGTACCAAGTTTGAACATTTCCATCCATAAACACCAAGATCGTGAAACAAATTGAGGTGCATATGGATAATATTATGTACATGTATGATGTATGTGTGAAGTTGTGATTGGTCCAGGCATGTCGCACGGACACACTGACACATGGATGCACACCGGTCAAAACATAAGTTCCCGTTTTCGGACTGCGTCCAAACGGGGACTAATAATAACGAACACAACTGCATTGCTTCATAGCAAATGATTGCTGTAGTGCAATCTGGTCATGCTGTGTTTCACAATTGTTGATTATTACTTAGTAGTAACGTACAAACGTATTACATAGTAATAATGTACAAAAAATAAATTGTTGAATTGTTATGAAATGCAAATAAATTTAAACTTAGTTTCATCATAAGCGAATGAAGCTGTAGGATATCCACCAAGTTTTGTCCTGGACAGTGTTATTTGACCTAATAGGTAAAAATTGAATACAGCACGGAAGGGATTTGCCGATGTTGTAGTATGATCTTTTGGCTTGGATTTTGATGGGTAGAAGGCATGATTTTTTTTTAAATAAAAAAAAATTGTTTTCAATTAATTAACTGAGCATTTGAAGAATAATTAAACATTGTTTACAGTGATAAAAGCTCACTAACGAAATGAAGCTTCCCCATTCATGTGTGTCACAATAAATATCATACTCTTGAATAGGCGTCAATGACTATGGTTAAACTTAAAATAGACTATTTTAGGCATCAGGAAAAATTGAAATGTTATCTATTACGTCAAACTATTTTTAAAAAAAACTAAAAAAAGTTGATAAATGATCCTGGGCAATTTCTTGGTCCCATTCTTTTTTAAAAAAAAATTAAACTGCTGTTTAATGGCCCAGGGCGAATTTACGGAAGAATCCGGTATCAATATTTAAAATGTGTTCAGGTTGGTCAGTAGTAGTCTTGTTTAATATTTAAACAGGGTCATTAATTAGCAGCCTGTCAGCTGAGATAGCTCCGCTGTTATCAATGCACATTTCAATTAAAGAACAGAAGATATCATCTGAAAATGAACAATATGTATAGTATCAATGCAATGGGACTTGCTGTTTTCAACAAGAATTCAAAAATTTAACTTTTTATCAAAAATATTCATCAAAATTAGATAATTGAAGAACAAAATCACTACGAAATAAACAAATCTGAGAGAGGTCTACCTGTAGTACATATG